CCTCTGAGATCCCGGCTCGCTGAAAGCTGGTTTCTAGGGTTTTGTTTAGCTTCTATATGTTACAGTATTTTTTAAACTGCCGACTCAGAGGCCTGCAATGGCAGGTGGGGAACGTTGCAGTCCTCCATCACTGAAGCAAGCAAGCCTCATGTTAGTTTCAAGCTGCCTGACTGCCGGCCGCCATCTTGGCTGGCAGTTAATTTGCATATTGCCCTGATTAGCCAATGGGAAGGGTAGCGGTTGTACGCCCATTACCATGTTTCTCTTTTATTAGATAGGATAAGTCCTGGGGATGTAATGTGCAGCATTGTGACTATAGCAAACAATACTGTACTGTATATTTGAAAGTTGCTAAGAAAGTAGATTATCAAAAGTTATCATAAAAAAATAAGTTTGTAACTATGTGTGGTGATAGATATTAACTAACCACTTTGCAGTATTCAGGGATAGGGAAAAGGAGGTCTACAGTTGTTCAAATGGAAAATAATACAAGAATAAACTGTTTTGCACACTTACAACTGTAAATCTACTTTTGCCTACCCTTATACTAGTATACATAATCAAATCATTATGTTGTACACCTAAAACTAATACAATGTTATACAGCAATTATCTCAAAAAAAATAAATGTTCCTATCAAAAATAAAATAAAATAGAAAATGTCAGATCCTCCAAATTACTGTTCTATCACCAAAGAAAATCCAGATTCATTTGAGAAAAAACACCCATTTTCCTTTCTTTTAAAGATATTAAGTATGTTAAGAGGTCTTTTAATTTCCCTGTGACTCAGCCTCCATCCTACCTGCCCTTCTATTCAATACTTTTATGATTTGACAACTTATAGTAATTGACTCCTACCTCTGAGTTCCCATTGTGCTGGAGATGCTCTCAAAAAACTACTAAATTGTTATCCTACAAACCACAAACTTCTTCATTGTACACAATCCTATATAATAAAAGGCTAATATGCAAATTGTCCCCTGGGAGTTCAACCAGGAGTTCGACCAGGGGGTGGGGCTGGCCAGCCAACCGCCCACAGCCTCGCCCTCCTACCCCAATTGGGGGCGGGGCCAGCTGGCCATCCACCTGCGGCCCCTCCTCCCAGCTGGCCCCAGGCTCTGATCAGGGCAGGCCGGCTGGACCTCACCCATGCATGAATTCGTGCACCGGGCCTCTAGTAGTCTATAATCTTAGCACCTCTTCTGCTCATGAAAATTTTGTCTTATTATTCATAAATATGAACTGCCCTCTAACACACAACTCCCCCAGACTAATTTTTCAAGTGTTCACTTCCCATGACCCCAACAGGTCCCAGAGTATAATTCTAAAATATGGGTTTATTTCCTCAGCATTCTTTATCTCTCTTGAGAGTTCATTGAAAAAATAACAAAAGCCTCTTCCTGCTGTGCAAACTGCTTTTTATTCCTTTTCTATTTCCAAGCTCCAGTTCTTTCTATATAGGTATTTCCAACAGGAGGGTCTCAAAATACATTTTGAAATTTAAAAATCTGGTAATTGAGGAAACTATATATGGAAGTAAATCCATATATATTAGTGGTATTCTGAGAGCTGGTGATAAGAGAAGGATTATAGTATCTTGTAAACATTTCCCAGTTACCTGACTCCTGTTTGATTTGAATTGTAGGCTTAATACCAGGTGGCAAAGGAGACTGCTGAGGCTGCTGTTGATGAGATACTGAAGAAGGCTGAGCCACCTGTTGCTGTGTCTGTTGCTGTACTTGATGTAACTGTTGCTTAGGAGACTGTTGATGCTGTTTAGGAAACTGTGCAAGAATCTGAGTTGGGGTACCCACTAAGTTTTTTGGGGAAGGAAGTCTGGTTGATGCCATTTTGATTGCTGATGTAGATACACCTGTAGAAGAGTGAGAAAAAAGAAAACTCAATAGTCAAGTATAATTAAGGTTACTTCTAGTTGTTGTAGTAGATATCACAAACTAGGTAAATCAATAAGAGCAATAATTTATTAAGCACCCATTGTATGTCAGATATAATGTGTGATACTTTACATATTAAATATTTAATCTCCAAACACTGCAAGGGAGGAGGCATCATTGCTTTCACACTAAACGAAATAGATTTCCCTTGGTGAAGAGTTAACACAAAAGAAACAAAAATATCAAGCAGGATATTCTAAACGTGTTTCTCAATAGATTTTCCATTAGAAAATATAAGTTCTTAATGTAATATAAAAGCAAAGTAAACTAAGTTTTAAATCTTATTTCTATTATATTTTTTAGGTTCTAGTGAGCCAATGTAAACAATTTAAACATGGCATGAAATAAAATAACTGCCCTGGCTGGTGTGGCTCAGTTAGTTGGATGTCATTCCATGCACCAAAAGGTTGTTGGTTTGATTCCCAGTCAGGGCACATGCCCGGGTTGTGGGCTCGATTCCCCGCTCAGTACGGGGTCTGCAGGAGGCAGCCAATTGATGTTCTGCTCTTACATCCATGTTTTTCTTTCTCACACCCTCTCCCTGCTTCTCTCTCTAAAAAAATCAGTAAAAATATTTATAAATAAAATAATTCACAATGAAACATTTATCTTTTGAATTATTTAGCAAGGCAAAGTAGCTTTTCTTTATTTCGCTTCCAATAATCTATAAATTAAAGTCATTTCTTCAGAACTCTAACTGGGTCATTAAATAATAATATGAAGTTACAAGTGAGCATACTCAATATATCCAGAGCAAAATGAAAATTCTGATGACTAAAGGTTGTAAGACATTTCTTTTCAGTGCAACACTAGCATTAGCAAATGTGCGCATAGGTAAGGAGTACCAGTAACTTCAACTAAAGATCTATGAGTTTCAAAGAAATTCTTCCCTGTCCCAGATTTTTCATCAGTAATTTTATAATTCATCAACAATACAATAGGATTACTATTTGTAAATGAATTAATATTCCTAACAAAGAATCTTGAATAAATTCATCATATCAACTTTTTGAGCACTGCTGAAACAACGAAAAGAAACTGATAAATTAATAGCCTGATTATCAAGTACTTAGCCTATATCCCATGTTCCTCCACATCCCCACCATGACATTGCATTACAGCAAATTTATTTTTTCTCTGTTTAATTACAGAAAAATTTAAAATAATATCACATCCTTACGTAAAATGTTTCTGAGGAATAATAAAGATGGAGAAGAAATCTTAAGAAGTCACTCTGACTCTCTGGGACTTAGCTTCCCGATTTGTTGAATTTCTTTGCACTACGATTCTAAGGGTTGCTGTGTGGATCAAGTAAAATCACAGAATGAGAAGTACTTGAGCCCAGGTGGTGTTGCTCAGTGGTTGAGCGTCAACCTATGAACCAGGAGGTCACGGTTTGATTCCTGGTCAGGGCACATGTCTGGCTTGAGGGCTCAATCCCCAGCATAGGACATGCAGAAGGCAGCTGATCAATGATTCTCTCTCATCACTGATGTTTCTATCTTTCTCTCCCTCTCCCTTACTCTCTGAAATCAATAAAAATATATTTTTAAAAATTAAACAAAGAAAAAAAAATTACCTATCAGGAAAGAACAAAACAGGGTATATGAATTGTAGATCAAAGGTAGACTTCTCAGAACACACAAAGTTTCGACTTTGAAACTTTATAAATATTTTATGTAATTATAAGTAAAATTAAGTTGAAAAATTTTAAATTACAATCCATAAAAACAAAACACATTAACCTAATTGTATACTAAATTAGAGCTTCACCACAGAGAAAAAAATTTCAAGTAACTTTAAAATACAGTAATTCAACTATATATCCATAATGAGAATACTCTCAAAAGCCAAAAGAACCATAATAAAATCTTAAGTTCTACTCAGTAATCATATTGTCAGTTATCATTTGGTTTTGTTATTCTGTAATATACAAGATGAGTCAAATACAAATAGTTTTATTAATCATTAGGAACTAAGATTTTTAGTGTAAGTGGAGAAAAAGATACAATTATACAAATAAAAAACACACACTCATAATTCTAAATTGGAATTGGTAATTTCAGTATAAACTCACAATGTTTTTTCCTCCCTGAAAGAAAAAAAGGATTCTAGCTCTGTCTAGAGAAAAGATCCAGAAACAATGACCATCCCCTTAGTGCTCAGACTGTGGTGTCTAAGCACCATTTCTCACTAAGAAACCAGGGCTCCTTGAAGAAATGTCTAATTCCAATCAATTTTCTGAGAGGAATTTAAAAAGGGGGGGGGGGGAATATACAAGATGAACCTATCTTGTCATACCACAAAACAAGGAAGCTATTAAGGACTAATGTGGTTGTGTCAAAAACAACTGAGGAGCCAACTTGAAGAGGCTTCCACTGAAAAGGATAGGACTAGTTGAGCACCAAAGAAATCTTAAGAAGTCACTCTGACTCTCTGGGCCTTAGCTTCCAGATTTGTTTTTTCTTTGTG